ATGATTAAATCCTCTTGCTTGTTGCATCTCCTGGTCTTGGGACTGAGTCATTGGGGTGTGACCTTCCATGGACGTTGGGTACCCCAGACCGGGGGCCCAACACTGTCCTCTCTCTCTCTCTCTCTCTCTCTCTCTCTCGGTCTCTGTCTCTCTTGGTCTCTGATTCTCTCTCTGGGTCTCTGTCCCTCTCTCTGGTTTCTGTACCCCCTTCTTTCTGGGTCTCTGTCTCTGTCCCTCTCTCTCTCTCTCCCTGGGTCTCTCTCTCTCCCTTTCTTTGGGTTTCTCTCTAGGTCTTTCTCTTTCTGAGTCTGTCCCTCTCTCTGGGTCTCTCTCCCTCTGTCTCTGGATCTCTGTTCCCCTCTCTCTAGGTCTCTGTCCCTCTCTATGGGTCTCTGTTTCTCTTTGTGTGTGTGGTGTGTGTGTGTAGGTCTCTCTCAGTCTCTCAGCCTCTCTCTCTCCCCACGCCCCTCCCTGTGGGCTCATTACCTGGCCAGAACTCCTTCCAGCTTCCCTTTTCTCCAGTTTCTTTCCTTTTCAGAGGGAGCTGCTGTCCTCTCAAAGAGTCACATCTCACATCAATTACCTGTAGACTCTAGCCAGTCATTCCAGGAGCTCTGTGACTTTTTAAAAATGTTTTGGATTTTTTTTTTGGTCTTTTTGAGAAAGGGGCTCCTTGTAGCCCCAGCTGGCCTGGAACTCACTGTGTAGACCAGGCTGGCCTTGAACTCACAGAGATCCGCCTGCCTCTGCCTCCCGAGTGCTGGGACTAAAGGCATGTGCCGTCATGCCTGGCATGTTTTACATTTTTAAAGAACATTTTTTAGAATTACATTTATTTATTTATGTGTATGTGGCTGCTCCTGCCAGGGTGTGAGTTTAGAGGTCAGAGGACAATTTTCGAGAGTTAGTTTTCTGTCATGTGAGTCCTGGGGATTGGACTCAGGTTGTCAGGCTGGGCCTCTTTTTTGGGTGTGGGGAGTTGAGATAAACAAAGGTCCTCTCACATGCCAGGTAGCCACTATACCACTACTGAGCCGCAAAGCTCAGCCCCCTAGCTTGGTTTTCTTTTCTTTTTATTCATTTATCTTTATTTTATATGTATGAGTGTATTGCCTCTATGTATGTGTGATGGATAGCTTTAGTGTCAACTTGACACACCTGGGTTGAGGGAGCCTCAGTTGGGGAATTGCCTCTATTGGACTGGCCTGTGGCCATGTCTGAAGGGCATCTTCTTGATGAGTGATGTGGGAGGGCCCAGCCCACTGTGGGTGGTGCCACCCCTGGGCAGGTGGGCCTGTGTTGCATAAGAAAGCAGGCTGAGCAGGGGCCAAGGGAGCAAGCCTGTAAGCAGCGTTCCTCCATGGCCTGTGCTCCAGCTCCTGCCTCCAGGTTCCTGCCCTGAGTTCCTACCTTGGGTTCCGTGATGAACTGCGTGCGACCTGGAAGATGTAAGACAAATAAACCCTTTCCTCCCCAAGTTGGTACTGGTCAGAGTGTTTTGTCACAGTAGTGAAGAAACAACCAAGACAGTATGTAAGTGCACTCGTGTAATGCAATGCCTGTGGAGGTCAGAGGGCATCGGATTCCCTGGAACTGGCGTTATGGACTGTTGTTAACCACCATGTGGGTGCTGGGAGTGGAACCTGGATCCTCTGTAAGAGCAGCCAATGCTGAGCCATCTCCTCAGCCCTCTTTACGTTTTTGAAAGCATGTCATATAACCTAGGGCTGGCTTGAGTTCTGTGTAATTGAGGGTGACCTTGAACTTCAAAAAGATTTTTTCAAATTACATTTTAACATTTTTATTTACACTGTGTGTGTGTGTGTGTGTGTGTGTGTGTGTGTGTGTGTGTGTATGTACCACAGCATTTTTATGGAGTCAGAGGACACTTAAAGAAGTTAGTTCCACCAGGGCTTGAACTTAGGTTGTCAGGCTTGGTGGCAGGCGCCTTTACCGGAATCATGAACTTCTGATCCTCTTGCCTAAGCCTCTTGGGTGCTGTGCTGGCACTCCAGTGCTGTTGGGGATAGAAGCGAGGATTGCCTGCACACTAGCCAAGCATTCTACCAACTGAGCTGCATTCCCAGCCCTCAGGGTTTTGCTTTTGTTTTTTGGCTTTGGTTTTGGTTTTTTTGGGTGGTTGTGTTTCCTTCTTTTCTTTCTTTTTATTTATTTTTTCCTTGAGACAGGGTCACCCTGTAGCTCCAGCTAGCCAGGAGCCTGTTATGTAGACCAGGCTGACCTTGATCTCACAGAGATCCACCTGCCTCTGCCTCCCGAGTGCTGGGATTAGAGCTTGCCCAGTTTGTTTTGTTTGAATCTTTTCTTGTGTATTTTAATGTGTAATAGTGTTTTGCCTGCACGTATGTAAGTGCACCACGTGCCTGCAATGCCCACAGAGCCAGAAGCAGGTGTTGGATTCCCTGCAGTGGGAATGGTCAGTTACAGATGGTCATTACCCATTATGTGGATGCTGGGAACCAAACCTGGGTCCTCTGTAAGAGCAGCCGGTGTTCTTAACCTCTGAGCCTCCTCTCCAGCCCTTTGTGTTGTTTGTTTGTTGTTTGTTGTTGTTTTTTAGGCAAGGTCTCTTTTGGTAGCTCAGGAGATCTCAGATCCTCCTTTCTCAGCTTCCTAAGTGCTAACATTAAGTCATGGGTCAGCACACCTGGCTTTACCCGCACTTGCCCCTCACAGTTAAAATGAAGTGCTGAAACCTGTACCTCCCATGAGCCCGCAGTCAGCCAGACAACGGGAGACTCAGGCAGGGCTGGCCCTTGACCCCAGGCGGCAGTAATCTGACATATTTTGTTCCTTTTCTTCCTAACCTGGAAATGACTAGGAAGAAGAAAAATTTAACTATAGGTTGTTGGGAAGGCCAATGCCTCTGCTACCAGCTGGATTGAATACATTCCAAAAGTTCTTGGGTGAGAGAATTGATGTTTTTTTGCTTTTAAAAAAAAAATTTTTTTTGAGACAAGGTCTCCCTGTAGACCAAGCTCCCTGGAACTCGCTATGTAGACTAGGCTGGCCTTGAATTCACAAAGATCTGCCTGCCTCTGCCTCCCGAGTGCTGGGATTAAAGGCGTATGCCACCATTCCTGGCTGAATTGATGCTTTTTAAAATTTATTTTTATTTTAGCTGTATGAGTGTATTGCCTGTGTGTGTAAATGCACCTGTATTGTGCAATGCCCTCGGAGGTCAGAAGACCTGGAGTTACCAATGGTTGTTAGCCACCATGTGGTTGTTGGGATTTGAACCTGGGTCCTCTGCAAGTATAGTCAGTGCTCTTAGCCACTAAGCTATCTCTCCAACCCCCAAATGCTGATGCTTTTATGAAATCCTGGGGTCCTAATCCCCCCCAATTACTGTATGTAGATCTTTAATCTTATGCTCGCCTGGGACACAGGTGTGCTGGATGTCTTCAGTTGTCAACTTGACACACCTGGGTAGAGGGAGCCTCAACTGGAGAATAGTCTCCATTGGACTGACCTGTGGCCATATCTGTGGGGCATTTTCTTGATTGTTGAGTGATGCAGGAGGGCCCAGCCCACTGTGGGTGGTGCCACCCCCAGGCAGGTGGGCCTGTGTTGTATAAGAAAGTAGATTGAGTGCCTTGCCTTTAAACCCAGCACTTGGGAGGCAGAGGCAGGTGGATCTCTGTGAGATCATTATTTTGATATATCACAGTGAAAGATTTATCGTCCTCTTTTTTTTTTTTTTTAAAAAAAAAAAAAAAAAAAAAAAAAAAAAAAAAAAAAAAGGCTGAGCACGGGCCAGGGGAGCAAGCCAGGAAGCAGCATTCCTCCATGGTCTGTGTTCCAGGTCCTGCCCTGAGTTCCCGCCTTGGCTTCCTTGATGGACTGTGAGCTATAAACCAAATAAACCTCTTCTGAGCCAGGCATGGTGGTTCATGCCTTTAATCTTGGCACTTGGGAGGCAGAGGCAGGCAGATCTCTGTGAGTTCGAGGCCAGCCTAGTCTCCATAGCAAATCCAGGCCAGCTGTGGCTACAGGGAGACACTGTCTCAAAAAGACCAAAAAATAAAAATAAACAAATAAATCTCTTCCTCCCCAAGTTGGTTTTGGTCAATGTTTTTAATCACAGCAGTAGAGAGCATCTTAGAACAACAGGTGTCCTGGTGCCTAGACCTCACAAATCAAGCACACCCAGGATCCAATAGCTCAGTCCAGCTGTAGGGGCTAAGACCTCTCCCCCGGCTACTTTCAACTACCATGGCCTGGCTGGCCAGATGGCTCAGCATGTAAAGGCATTTGCTGCAAAGCTTGATGACCTAAGTTCCATCTCTGAGACCCACATGGTGGAGGGAGAGAACCAACTCCTGTAGATTGTGCTCTAATTTCCACACAAACACCAAGGCACACGTGTACACGTACACACATATATACACACACAAAAAATGCAAAAAAAATTCGAACATCATAGAAAACTACATCTCCCATGAAGCCGTGGGGCTACAATGTCCTTCCAAAAATGTCCCTTACATCGAGATATCTTTGATAAATAATTACACCATGCTAACACAGGATATGATACCACAAATTCCTAATCAGAGCAGAAAAGGAGGGCCCAGTGGCAGGTAGGACTGTAAGATCATAGGGAAGGAGACTCTCAGGATCAAGGAGAAACAAGAAACCTCATCCTCAAATACTTCTCTGAGTCTTTATTATCCCAAGTAAGAAAAATAAAAAAATAAATAAGATAAATACCCACAATAAATAAGAGGAAACCCCAAAATGAACATCTCTAGTTCAGGAAGCATAACTGGGGCTGTGGCCATGCAGAGGACCCACCATGCTCAGAGGGTCGGAGGAGTCCACGTCAGGGGGTTCAGGGGCCAGGAATCCAGGGGGCTCCTGGGGTTCTTGGAGCAGGCCTGGAAGGGGCAGGAAACGCACAGGTGCCCAGGATACTGGGTCCTGGTTTGTGGAGTCCCGAGGGGGCAGGCGCAGCAGGAGGCCATGGGCTTCAGACTGGTAGACATTATATCCATCTTCAAGGAGCAGCTCTCGGAAGCTGCAGGCCTCTGGATCAAAGTGAGGCTGGGGGTAGAAAGCAGAGTCAAAGACTCTACCTGACATCCCCAGACGCATGAGTCCAGGCCCCAACCCTCCTCCCTCACATCCCTTAGGGGTCCAGGCCCCAGCCCTTCTCCCTTATACTCAGGGGTCCTGACCCCAGCCTCCTTCCTCACACACAGTGTCCAGGCCCCAGCGGTCCAGAGGTCCCTCACCTTGGCTCTTCTCTAAGATTGAAGGGTCCAGGCCCCAGTCTCCTCCCTCAGAGTCAGTGGATCCAGACCCAGCCTCCTCCCTCAACTGCTCTCTGACCAGACTGGCAGTCTGCCCACCACCTCTAGTCATGTCATTGATCATGAGTTCCAGGATCAGAGCCTGTGGGAACCCACATGGTCAGGTACAGGGTTACACTTGGCCTCTTAGGCCAGTCTGCCCTTTACACATGCCAAGACTTGAGGCCAGTGGTGACCTGCCTGGGCCTCAGTTTCCTCTTCTTGCAAGAACAGAAAACAGTTTTTCCAACCTGCCAAAGGACAGGACCACAGCTGACCCACGGAGAATACACTAGGCACGCTCTAGTTGTAAGCGTGGGACCTCAAAGAAAGGCCCACCAGAAGGGTCTTGAGGACACTCACCGATCCATACAGGGTTCCATCTGGCCTCTGACAAAGGAACCTTGAAGCTTTAACTCCCAAGATTTGAATGACACCTGGCTTCAAGGCTTTGAGCTCCAGGAGACCTGTGGGGACAAAGTGAAGACACTTAGGGTCTGTCCCCACCAGTGATGACCTAGCACCCAGTCCTCCTACCTCCATGATGCCCTGTCCCACACTCACTTTCCGGGCTACGGTGTGTGGCACCCACCACAGTGCCATCTGCCCTAATTTCCAGGTGGGCTTCAGTGTTCTGGTGGTCATCTGTGTAGAGGTGTCTCTGTCGGACTTGGCCCCCAAACTGGAGGAGGGGGCTGGAGTCAGGGATGGGGCGTGCCTGGCAGGCTTCCAGCAGAAGGACAGCCATCACAGGGATACACAGTCCCTGGGGTCCAACTCTGCCCTTTGTCCAGTTCATCAATAACCCACGTCCTCTGGGAAGCCCTGGAGAGTGTTTGAGGAGCAGAGTGGTCTGGCTTCAGCTTCTGATCCAACTGCCCCAGCCAAACAGGTTCAGGTTTAGACTGGTGCTCAGGCGATGTGAATGTCTCACGCCTCTCCTGTGTTGAGTCTCCAGCTGACAAGACACTAAGGCTGTCTGGTGGACCCAGAAGTGCCAGAATTTATACCCAGACATACCCGCCCACGCACGCACGCACCCTCCCCACTCCTGACCAGTGATATTTGACACACTTGGCAGGGACCCGAATTCCACCGTGGCCAGGGCAGCATGGATGGATGATGCAATGGGGGGGGGGTCTTTCCAGCTGGGGTCTGAGAGAGGAAGCTGGAGTCTGGACTACAGGATCTGAGGGAAGAGGTTTGGGGACTAGACCCCTGAGTTTGAGGGAGGAGCCTGGGGTCTGGACTACAGAATCTGGGAGATGGGTAGAGTTTGGATTCCTGAGTCTGATGGAAGGGGCTGGAGTCTGCACTCCTGGGTCTGAGGGAGGAGGCTGGGGTCTGGACCCTTGAATCTAAGGGAGGAGGCTGGGGACCATACACCTGGGTCTAAGGGAGGAGGCTGGGGTCTGGACTCATGGGTCTGGTGGGGAGCTGGAGTCTATCCTCTTGGGTCTGAGGGAGGAGGCTGGGGTCTGGACTCATGGGTCTTAGGGGGAGCTGGAGTCTATCCTCTTGGGTCTGAGGGAGGAGGCTGGGGTCTGGACTCATGGGTCTTAGGGGGAGCTGGAGTCTATCCTCTTGGGTCTGAGGGAGGAGGCTGGGGTCTGGACTCATGGGTCTTAGGGGGAGCTGGAGTCTATCCTCTTGGGTCTGAGGGAGGAGGCTGGGGTCTGGACTCATGGGTCTTAGGGGGAGCTGGAGTCTATCCTCTTGGGTCTGAGGGAGGAGGCTGGGGTCTGGACTCATGGGTCTTAGGGGGAGCTGGAGTCTATCCTCTTGGGTCTGAGGGAGGAGGCTGGGGTCTGGACTCATGGGTCTTAGGGGGAGCTGGAGTCTATCCTCTTGGGTCTGAGGGAGGAGGCTGGGGTCTGGACTCATGGGTCTTAGGGGGAGCTGGAGTCTATCCTCTTGGGTCTGAGGGAGGAGGCTGGGGTCTGGACTCATGGGTCTTAGGGGGAGCTGGAGTCTATCCTCTTGGGTCTGAGGGAGGAGGCTGGGGTCTGGACTCATGGGTCTTAGGGGGAGCTGGAGTCTATCCTCTTGGGTCTGAGGGAGGAGGCTGGGGTCTGGACTCATGGGTCTTAGGGGGAGCTGGAGTCTATCCTCTTGGGTCTGAGGGAGGAGGCTGGGGTCTGGACTCATGGGTCTTAGGGGGAGCTGGAGTCTATCCTCTTGGGTCTGAGGGAGGAGGCTGGGGTCTGGACTCATGGGTCTTAGGGGGAGCTGGAGTCTATCCTCTTGGGTCTGAGGGAGGAGGCTGGGGTCTGGACTCATGGGTCTTAGGGGGAGCTGGAGTCTATCCTCTTGGGTCTGAGGGAGGAGGCTGGGGTCTGGACTCATGGGTCTTAGGGGGAGCTGGAGTCTATCCTCTTGGGTCTGAGGGAGGAGGCTGGGGTCTGGACTCATGGGTCTTAGGGGGAGCTGGAGTCTATCCTCTTGGGTCTGAGGGAGGAGGCTGGGGTCTGGACTCATGGGTCTTAGGGGGAGCTGGAGTCTATCCTCTTGGGTCTGAGGGAGGAGGCTGGGGTCTGGACTCATGGGTCTTAGGGGGAGCTGGAGTCTATCCTCTTGGGTCTGAGGGAGGAGGCTGGGGGCTGGACTCCTAGGTCAGAGGGAAGGGGCTGGAATCTGACCTCTTGGGTACTGGGGATAGACCCTTGGGCTTCAGGCTTGCTGTGTATGCACTCTTCCATCTAAATTGAATTTCAAAGTTCCTGGAGGGTTGGGGTCTGAGGGTTTCTTTAATCACCAGGAAAGCTACATCAACCAAGTAAAAGAAGAGCCTTCAGCAGGTGTCCTCTGTGGAAGCCTCCCAGCTGGCCAGAGGCCAAGTTCACCCTCAACAACCCCTGCTCAGCATTCGGATCTTGTGCTCATCCAGCAGTCCTCCCTGATGCAATCCTACTGCTTCTTTCACCAGAGACTGTCCTGCACAGGTGCTCCCCAGACACCCTGGGGGATGGGAATGGACAGTCTCCTTCCCACTGAGCCAGGCTTTGCCAGGGGGGGAAACTGGGTGACTCCCTGGAGTTGAAGCTCTGCTGGGGAAATTTCCTGGGTTTGAAAGAGGGGGCTGTAGCATGTATCCCTGGGTCTGAACGATGCGAGGTTGGAGCTGAACCCTTGGGTCTGAGGGAAGAGGCAGGGGATGGACCCTTGGATCTGAGGCAGAAAGCTGGGTAATAGGGAGGAGAATGGGGGAGGAACCCTGGATCTGAGGGAGGAGGGCTGAGGTCTAGAATCCTGAGTCTGAGGGAGGAGGCTGGGGAAGCAACCAATGGGTCTGTCCCAGGGTCTGAGGGAGGAGGGTTGGGGTCTGGCCCTGGTATGAGGGAGTAGGCTGAGGTCTGGACCCCTGGGTGTGAGGAAGGAGGCTGGGGTCTGAATCCCAGGGTATGAGGGAGGAGGATGGGGATGGACCCTGCATCTGAAGGGGGACACTGGGGTCTGGACCCCAGGGTCTGAGTACAGTCTGGTCCATAACCTGGAGAAATGATCTAATCTTGGGCCAGCCAAGTGGAATTCCTGAGTCTTTGCGAGGTGTGAAGGCTCAGGTACAGGCGAGACGGGGCTGCTGGGCCAGCCGGGTCCAGCAAAACTCGGGACAACAGGAGAGCTGAGGTCTTTGTCTTCAGCCACAACGTGAGGCCCTCAGAGAAAGAATGTGAGTCTACTCTTGCCACCATCCTTCCGGTCAGAAAAAAAAAGTTATTTCCGAGACTTGCCAATCTTCAAAGCAGCAGCTGGACCCCAGACTCTAGGGTTCCCCCAAGGAAGGGCTGGGTGCTCCGCTGTGGGGTGTGGTGTGTATGCGGCCCAGGGCTCCGCAGCCTCCGCCTGGGCTAAGAGGCCTGGCACAGGCTTGTCCTGGGCTCTGGGGCTGCCTGGCAAACAGGTTCTCCATCCTCCAGGGAGGGTGCGGTAAGTGGGGAGGAGGAGTCTGGGGATGTCCCCCTCGGTGAGGACCAGGTGTCCCGGCCCTGCCCTGCTGGGGCGTGGCTACTCCCAAGAGCATCCAGGTGCAGGGAGAAGACTCTAAATCCCGGCACTGGAGAGGGCAACGCGCGTCGGACCGGAGCTCTGGGGTCCAGCTTTGCAGCCCCATACCAGTCCTCAGGTCTATGCAAGGATACGACTGATACTGAAGGCGAACTGGGCTGCCCTTCGTGGAGCCCTGTGACCCTAGAGGAAGGGGCCAGGGTGCTGCGTCCCACCCACTCGAGTGGAGGAGAGGGTGCCGTGCCTCACTACCCTGGACGGTCGGGTGTGGCGCCAGGTACGGATGCGGCTCCGCCTCCTGCTACCTACCCGGCTGGGTGGGCGGAGGCTGTGCACCTCGGAACCTGGTCTCTCCTTCCTCCCATCTGTGAGTTCTGCCTGTGCAAGGGGGAGGTCTGGAGGCCGTGGGCTACGGAGCCAGGGCTCCTGGCCTGCGTGGCTGATGAGGGCCACAATTTGGTCCTGCAAGCTCAGCCCAGAAGAATTCCTTTGTACCCACAAGGAGCTCAGGTGAGTCCACACTGGGCATGCCAGACCCCCAGGGACCACTGGGGCCTTTAGGCCTCTCTAATCTTAACCCCCTCTATCTCAGGATTTGGAGGCTACCCTCAACCCCTCCCCATAGCATTCCATTCCCTCCTGCTAGAAGAAAGGCCCTTAGGACTTAGGGAACTAAAGAAATTTATTTTACCAGGTTAAAAGAGCTCAGAAAATTGCAAGTTATGTGAGTAATCTGGGGGTTCTAGGGATGCAACTTCTGTCAGTCTTTACCCATCCTGGATTGGGCTTCTCAGTGATGCAACACCTATATGCTTATAAAGAACCCCCAGTAAATTAATTGGTTCACCAAGCCAGACTTGAGTGGAATCATTTCTTTGGTCTGTCCTTGGACCCTATGTGAAATAAACAGATAATTGTTCATGTCTCCACACAAACATCCAGGCAAGGGCTCCTGCAGTTCTAAAACTCTCTTCTTACTAGGGCATCCTGCCTGTCATGGTCACCTAGACCCAGTACCTGGGGGATAGAATATGCCCCTCATGAACAGGCCAACCCAAAAGAGAGGTTGAAAGAGATATAAGGTTCCCAGCAACCCCTGGACCTTGTGTCTTGCAACCACTTGCTCTGTGCTCTGCATGTCTCCCACCCCAATCCCTGGAGGATTCCGAGCTTTCTGTCCCTCCAACTCAAAGTTTAGGCCCTCAGCTTCTCCCAACCTTAGACACAGGGGTCTTCTCCTTTAGAGTCCTTATTCCCAGGCCTCTCCTGCCTGACCTTCTAACTTATGTTTCCTCCCCGTAGCCATGTGGACCCTCAGCCGGCGGCAGCTCTGCCTGGCTTTCCTGCTGGTCTGTGTGCTCTCGGCTGTCTCCTTGTTTCTGCATCTGCACGGAATCTTTCAAAATGGCTTAACTCTCTCTGTCCTGTGTCCAGACTATGACCTGCTGAAATTCCCAGTGGCCACGGTATGCCTGCCTCAGCCACTACTGACACCCAATGCCTCCCCTCCCAGTCCCTGGCATCTTGCCTCACTCCCTGGGACTTGGACCTTCTCCCCAAGAGGCAGGTTTGGTAACCAGATGGGGCAGTATGCCACACTGCTAGCCCTCGCCCAGCTCAATGGCCGACGACCTTTCATCTTGCCTGATATGCATGCTACCCTAGCCCCTGTGTTCCGCATCTCCCTGCCTGTGCTGGACCCTGAGGTGGATGTCCTCACACCTTGGCGGCATTTAGACCTACATGACTGGATGTCAGAGGAGTATTCCCACCTGGAGGACCTGTTTCTTAAGCTTTCCGGCTTCCCCTGCTCTTGGACCTTTTTCCACCATCTCCGGGCACAGATTCAGAGGGAGTTCACCCTGCATGACCACCTTCGAGATGAGGCTCAGCACCTGCTGAGTGTACTCCGCCTGGACCCCACAGGGGCCCGCCCTCGCACTTTCGTGGGTGTGCACGTGCGCCGTGGAGACTATCTAGAAGTGATGCCCAATCGCTGGAAGGGAGTGGTGGGTGACCAAGCTTACCTCCAGCAAGCCATGGACTGGTTCCGGGCCCGGTACGAAGACCCCATCTTTGTAGTCACCAGCAATGGCATGCAGTGGTGTTTGGAGAACATCGACACATCCCACGGGGATGTGGTCTTTGCTGGCAATGGAAAGGAGGGTACACCAGGGAGGGACTTTGCACTGCTCACTCAGTGTAACCACACCATCATGACCATTGGTACCTTTGGCTTCTGGGCCGCCTACTTAGCAGGTGGGGACACTGTCTACCTGGCCAACTTCACCCTGCCAAACTCCGAGTTCCTGAAGATCTTTAGGCCTGAGGCTGCTTTCCTGCCTGAGTGGGTGGGCATTAATGCAGACTTGTCCCCACTGCAGGCTCATGCTGAACTTTTTGAGTCAGGCAACATTTAAGATTGGGCTGATGCATCTGCAGCCAGCCAGCTGTCTTCAGAGGCTTAGTGACTTTGGAATATGTCTGTGGAACATGCCTGGAGCTGGTGGCCCCTCATTTCCAGACTTCTAGACAAAGGCCTTTCTGGGAATGATGGAATGCTCTAGAGTCAGCAGAGCATCTTTTCCTGATGGCCGAGGAGCATTAGGCAGCCCTGGAAGCTGCAGTCCTCTTCTGACCATACCAGCCCACATCCCTAGAACTTCTGGGTGGTTGTTTCCAGGAACAGAAAACCCTCCCTTCTAGATTTCATGAGACTGAAGGACCAGGTTTCCTGGGTTTCTGGGATGATTCTAGAAGGCGGAGTGGAGAACCCTGCAGGGCCCTGCCAGAATTCCAGATAGTGAAGATTTTAATGGAGATGCATGCATACTATATACTCAACACCCCCCCTTTGCCAGAAATGTGGAGTGATGAAAGACAGCCTTTCTTGAGCCAGCATTCTTCTGGAAAGACAGGACAGTTTGAACAGAACTGAACTCTCTCCAGCC